CAAGCTTTATAGTCTCGTGTTTTCAGAGAAGTCCAATGCTAACGAATAGAGTTGTCACGAACAGGTTTCAACGGGATGGTGTCCGACTTTATAGAAGTCAATGCCCACACGATGTCGCCGAACTCTCGACCGACCCGCGAGCGGTAGCGGCGATAAAGCGCGCACAGCCCATCCATCCTCCACGATGACGGGCTAAGAGTAGATTCCACCATCGTGTTCCCCCGCGGACACGGTGGGCACGTCACGGCGCGCCATGCTGCATGAGGACAACGAGCATGGGCGGCCTGGCGAAGAGAAAGCCAGGCCAGAAGCCGCTTCCGGGATGCTAAAGAGAAATGGCACGCCATCGCGGACGGCGGCGCAACGGGCGTACCGCAGACTGGGCATGCTACTACGATGACGGCGTCTTACAGGGCCCGTAGCATCTGGCTTTCTTTTTGATTTTTTCCAAACCATGCCCAATCGGGGGCTTTAGCGCGGCGATGGCTGACTGGGATGACTGGAAGACTCTGGTCTTTTGTCGGTGGATGAACGGGAGCGCAGCCACGCTCCCACCATCACGGGAAGCGGCCGGCAGTGTTCCTGACAAATCGGCCGGGTCGATGAAGTGGCAGACTGCCACTCGGACGAGAGCCTCCAGCCCTCTCAGCCTCTCTCTTCCCGCTCGCCGAGTTTCGCAGAGCCGCTGCTGATCGGCAGGCCGTTCCCTCCAATGTCGCCCCCGGGAACAGGAATGGACGTGTTCTCGACCTACTTTCTGTTTTCCTACAGATAAGCATCAGAGACAATCGAAAAGACAAAACTGTTTTCGATCCGGTACGCAGCTACTAGCTGGTGCAGAATTTCGATACTTCGGACTGCGGCCCCTCCGTCTCTCTCTGCAGGGGATCGGGAGGCGAGGTGATACATCCGTCCGAAAGTCGAGCGAACAGAACATTCCAGCCCCGGCGAACAGCCAAGCCCCCGGCCGCATCCAAACTGCGCTGAACCATCGACATGGGGCTGACGACACAATGTTGCCGAGGACGGTAGGTATTCCCAGCCCCCTGCTTGAGTTGGCTGAGTGAGCAAAAAAGCAAGAGATGCGACTAAGTTGCAAAAGCCAAACGAACATTGATGCCGGTAGCAATGTGCATGTAGTGTAGCCCTCGGGAGCCTGGTCGTCCATGATGCGCACAACAGTCAAGGCACTAACACTTTGAAAATTTACCCATGATTTCCCACATCGGAAAGGTGCTTTGAGCATGTGCCATTTGGTTGGACAGCGGGGAATTGTAGAAATCAAAGACTCGGAGCTATGATGTCATTCTGTCCTCGGTGGGGCTTTTTACTCCTACCTTTGCCTGCATCGTGCTGCAGTTCGCCTGTACTCATCAACCACCTCTCCCACGAAGCAGAGCACTAGCCAGGTTACTCCGCTGTCTCTGCAGGCTAGACTGCGTTGTCAGCATCCTCGTTCTGCACTCCAGCCTGTCTAGACACAGTCCGTGGAGTCCTGCATATGCATTGTGAAAGGGGCTTGAGGCCCAGATCGAAACAAGCGAGGTCGGGGATGCTGGGGCGACAGGGAGAACTTCTGTCGAATCGTCGAATCCTAGTCTCCATCCCATCTGCAGTGGGCCGCGATTCCAGTTCACCCGGCCTACCTACGGCTTTGCAGAGAGCCCGTCTCGAAAATGCAACTGCAACTGCAACTCCATGCGCAGCACCCTCCAACTATTAGACTCCGTGCCGCCATGGCGGTGAGGCACAACATGCCTGTCGTGTCGTGGTGCCCTGGCGCACCTCCGCTCACCATCGTGAGGGGTCCTTATCGTTACCTTCACCCACGTCCGACTGCTCATTTGCCTTCATGTTCAGTCTTGGTTATCAATGGCAACTTGCACTGGGCGATGACGACAGAGGCTGCTTGAAGCTCTTCGAAATTAGCATGTGCTCTCGATAGTGTCTCGAGAACTATCCAATCTCCTCACGATGCGACGCAGCATCATCACTCATCGCTGGACTTGCGTCCACAATGCCCTCGGCATCGAAAAGAGACACTGGGCACTGAGTATCTTCGGACGTCTCTCCACAGCACTAACAACCAGCCAGTCAGACGGAATATCGTATTGTGCGATGCAAAAAGATAGTGGCGAATTCACAGTCTCCTTTGTCGCCCTAGCTCGCACCCACCGGAAATTCCACTCCGCGGGGGAAAACATTAGACCACAAAGCCCCGTCTGAGAGTACTGCAGGTAAGACCTAGCCAACACTCTCGCAACTCTGAGCGGTTGCCAGAAGCCTAAGCCCTGCTTGCCCTGACTCAGGAGGAAGAGGCCATGCAGAGAGCGCTCGGTACTAGTGAGGAAATGGAAGGCCATGATGTCAATCATCCTCCTACAGGACGCCGGGCCGTCACTTCGGGCGGCTTCGGTAGACCCGACCTTCACAAACCGGCCGCGCTACTATGCCCGGGGCCAGACCATGCACGCTCCGGGGCCAACAGGTGTCCAGACCAGAACGACAAACATAGGACCCTTCGAGGCCTGCCGATCACTGGCGGGTTGCCCGCCTCTGGACGAGAACGAATTTTGGAATACCGAGTAGAACGGGATGGGTATCTTCAAGCGGAAAATAGTAATTCGGGTGGTCTCGTTGCGCTTTTCCGAGCCGATGTATCCATTTGAGTTCCTCTAAACCGTACGCCTAACATTATGCCTCATCAGCAGTACCTCAAACTACAGCCTATGCCGACACCTTGGCGCTGTACTTGGTTGCTGCCTTGTCGAACAACGCGCTCTTCTCCTCCAAATCCACGAGAAACTGGTGCTGGGGATCCGCTGCCTTGAGCTTCCTGTGTTCAAGTGGTTAGCAAATCGACCCCATTGCCTCGGACAGGGGCGACACTTACTCCGTAAACTCCTTGGGATCCTTGCCAGAGATGACCGTCAACACAAGCAGGTTGGCAATAGCCTCGGCGTAGTTGGGGTTCTTCGAGACAGCCTGGTCCAGGGCAGACTGTGCCTCCTCTGCACGTCCGAGGTGCAGCTCAGCAACAGCCTGGGACACCAGCGTCGCGATCGAAGATGTTGCTGGCGCCTGCGCAAGCTCCTCGAACACGTAGAAAGCCTGTTGGTACTTGTCTCCGCCCTATTACATCTTAGCACAGTGTCTCCGTCTGAAGTATGGATATCGTACCTGTCGCAGACCAACCCACGACTCGGCCAGGTTGACCAGCAAGCTATCCTGGGCCCATCTCCTGGCGGCGGTGACCTCCTTCAGAGCGAGATCGTTTCGGTTCTGCTGAAGGTGGATCTGGACGATCAAGGCAACGGCGTCAACTGCGTAATATAAATTAGCTGGAGCCAATCTAAGCCACGCGTTCATTACTCACGGCTGTCCTGGTGCTGCGACAACAGCGCAAGTGCCTCCTCTGACTTTCCTGCCGCCTGCAAGACGGTACCTCCAACAATCTGGACTGTGACATTCTCTCCCTCGGACGCGGCGAGCTTCTCAATCGTCTTCACTGCAGACTCCGTCTTTCCCAAGGCACTCTCGGCCAGAGCACCAATTGCAACCAGCTCGGGCTCTTTCTCTCCCTGAACATCGGCGATGACATCTTCGGCTTGGCCCAGAGCAACGCGGGCGCGGAGGACTAGGACTCGTGCGGGAAGCTCATTCTCGGGAGAAAGGGCGGAGGTGTCGTAGTCGATGACCTCCTGGTATTGACCTTGGTGGAAGTGGTTGTGGATGTTGATCAATTCGCCTTCGGCAGAGTAGGGGTCCATATTGGCGGTTGTGTTGAGGTCGGATGTTCGTCGTTGATGTCGAACGCCAAATGCTAGACAGCTGCGATGTGTTCCCCTTGGCTATTCACTGATGGGGGGGACTTTCGAGCAACGTGGAACCCTGAGAAGGGACGGAGGATGCCGCCGCCGGGATGGTGGGTCTTATTTATGGTCCGTGCACCGCAATGCTGGGCTTAGGAAAGAGCGATCCAACAACACCATAGATACAAACACCACGACGACCCACGATCTTCCTGCAGCATCTCAGCATGACACCTTCGTTTATAGCTTTCACCGAAAATCAACGCTGGAGTTTCACTAACTGCCTTCTGATGAAAAACCAGCATGCGATTCGTGATGCTTGCGCTCTCATGGCCACCTAGTGCTCCTCCTACTTCGGGCATGCAACGTCATAGACAGTCGGTCAAGTGGCCGATTATCGAAGATCATGGATATCTGCTGCTGATATCAATGCTTTGAATCTCTTACGACAACTTACGGCGTAACAGCAAAGTTTGGTATCACTGTTTTAAGCCTGATGGATTATGTGGGCGACTAAATATCAAGCCAAAGGGTTTGTCAACGGATTTCTGTAAGTAGTAATGAGCTATTGAACTTGAAAGGCTGATCAGTAGGAATTATAAAGTCTTAAACTCAAACATACTTCTACCAGGTAGTGAAAAGTCTGTTTATAGTAGCATTTCTATCAGGTTTGCATTGATAAGATTCTAGCATCCCTCCCCTCCTCTTGGTTATCCCATCTTGTTGAACAGTAGATAGCCCAGATCCATTAGTTCCTAACCATGAGCCCCCTAAGTATCTGTCTGCTGAGTGGTCTAGTGCAGAGGCCTTTCGAATTGGTAAAGGAAGTTGCAAGGGAAGGTGCTCCTTGTTGCGCCTACCCTTCCTGGCTTTCACGCTTTTCTACCCAACCTCAGAGAATTCACAACCACAAAAGCCACTCTCAATTTTCACAAACCTATCTCTCCCAAGGGTTGTGAAAATCCCCTCACACCCCTTGCTTGAACGCTCATTTCTCTCTTCTCCCCCATTCTCATCATTACCATTACAGTTACCAAGCGTGCTACTACTATTTTTGCAGCATCACTCACACAGCCTTTCGTTGCTGTAAGTATCCTCCTGAACTCATCTTGTTACCTCACTCATGCGTCTCATCTCAGTTAATCATTCCAAATCGCGCCTTGCGCCTGCGTACTTATCACTGTGGCAATGAACTGGATGACGCCCCACGAAGCGTCCCTGCAGAAGCTTCCGGCTGAAGCTGATGCTGAAGCGGAGACCAGCGTCCTCGATAGGAAGCGCCCAGTTCCTCGATTTCCTGACAGCTTTTCTGCCAACCTGGGCCGAAAAGTTTCCTCACCCTCGTCTCCCCAGGAAATCTCTGCATCTGCAACTCATCGCACCCTTCCCTCTCCTCTCCCACAGAGCCAGAGTGTTATCAATCGTAAGCGGGACGTTGTCGCTGGCATAGCACCTCCGCTTCCTACAACTCCTCTGCCCACCTCGCGCAATCGACAAGTTTCTACTGCCTCCTCAGTCAAGGCCATGGTAGCAAAGTTCGAGGGCGGCGGCTGCGACGAAGCTCCTGACAAGTCCGACACAATGGCAGATTCGATGAACGACGCACCATCCTCGCCCATCGACAGCATCAAGACAAAGGCACCCGTCGACGATTCAATCAATACGATCAGCTCTAACCTTGCCCCTGGCCCAACCTCTCACGCAGTCGTTCCCAAGACCCAGACCGTTGAAGAGGGTGAATTGGAGTTGCTCAAAATGCAGGAGTTCTACAAAACCGAGCCCCTCGCTCGTTGCTTGGATAACTATGTCCCTCCCAAGCGAAACAAGGAGAAGGTGAAGGTTCTTCCTATTGAGCAGGACGAAGGTGCTTCATTGTTGAAGGCGGCTAAGCTCGAGCTGCACAACACTCTCGCCAAGTCTCACGAGGCCTATGAGGAGCGCCACCCATCCGCAAAGCAGGAACGTCTGCAGCAGGAGGCAGCTGAGGCACTCAAGAAGGGGGATCCGTCAAAGAACAACGTCTCGAGCACACCGTCTGAGGCCAGCACGAAGCCCTCTCGTCGCGCCAACAAGAAGGCCCGGAAGAAGGCCCAGAAGAAGGCAGAGAAGGCAGCAAAGCGCGAGGGTATTGATCCCATCGACCAGAAGCCTTCGTCTTCAACTTCCACGCAGCCTACCCAGAAAGAATGGACGCTGCGAGGCCAATATCCCGAGACGTTCGCCAAGATCGATCATTGGCGGTCTCTGCCTGACCCCGACGCGCCGCAGGTATCTTCTGCTACCCAGATGCCTAGTCTGGTCAATCAGTCTTTTTCTGGCAAGGATCAGGCTCCTCGCCGCCGCAATGCTTCCCACGAGACTTCTCACGACGAAAGCCTGGCCAGCTCTGCTTCGTCCTCCGCCACCTTGGTCCCTTCGCAGAATCAGTCCATCTCGGTCACGCCTGCTGACAGTCAATCGTCCGACAGCGATAGCACCGACTACGACCATGACAGCACCTCCCAGACATACAATGAGTCTGATGAAGCAGCCATCCCGTCTTCCCAGGGTCCCAATCAGCCGATGAGCCAGCACTTGACTCAGAAAGTCGGCGCCGAGGCGAACAAGGACAGTGAAGCCGGCAACGGTGGAGAGGCGTTCCCGTTCATCCAGAGAAATCCGGAGGAAGTTGCTGCGTTCTAGGGCGGCGTCCGCAACTATCTCCACATCTCAGATGACGAGCTCTCCGACGGTGAATCTGCCAAGGTCGCAAAGGCCGCCGCGAAGCAGAAGGAGAAGAGAGACGCTGATCGCCGCGTTCATGAGGCCGTCAACGCTGCTCATGCCGCGGGCCGCATTGTTCATCTCGAAAATATGAAGTCGATCCGCGACCAGATCTCGACCAATGTCAAGAAGTCTGACATCAAGCCCGGCTTTGGCAAGAAGGCTCAGCCTGTTCCTGCTTTTGACGAAATGGCTTACAGCGCCGACTCTATTGCCTGCCACACCTTGAAGCCGGCACCCCTTCGCATTCCGTCGCGCATGAAGCAGCCTTCAGTCGACGACTCTGAGATTAAAGAAAGGGACACCCCTCGTACGCCGGCTCCTCAGCTCCCCGGTGAGCTAAAGGTGAACAAGGGCAAGCATCGCGTTGAGCATGTGCTTTCTGAGGCTCCTGGAATTGATCCTGGCGAGACTGGTATTAAGGACAACCGCAAACAAAGTGCGTCTTTCACCCGTCAGAAGGCTGGCTCCGTCAATTTCAGCCGGCCCCAGAACAAGAATGCTCAGAACCACAAGCAGTCGGACGCTCCTTCCAACAAGTCCTCTTCCCCCGCCGGTGGTAAGAAGAATAAAGCTTCTGCTCGCGACAAGCGCGGAAAGAAGTCAGCCTCTAGCGCTTCAGAGAAGGAGACACAGCCCGGCGGTGACCAGGGACCTTCCAGAGATGAGCTCAATGCTTTCTTCGGCACGAAGAACCAGCCTGGCCCGGTTGATGCCTGGCTCAAGGAGGCTGCATACCGCCAGAAGCGCAAGGAGGTTGAGGCTGCTGTCGCGGCCGCCAAAGCTGCTCAAGCTGCGAAGGCTTCGCAGGCTTCTCAAACCGCTGAAGTATCCCGGCCTACTACTCAAACTTCTCATGGCGCTCAGAACTCAGACCGCCAGAGCTTTACTGCTGGCGACTACCAGGACCTGATCCAGGATGACTACAATGACCTGATCCGACAGTCTCCTGAGAAGAAGCAGGCTGCTTACACGCATGGAGGTTCTTCTCGTGTCGTTCCTCAGACTGTTGACTTCAACGGACACTACCCCCAAACTCAGCCGCTCGCCGGAGCTCGCCACCATAGTGGTGGACCAACACTCCCGCCCACCCCGGCTTCCGCCTACCGGCCCCGCGTTGCGGCCGCCAAAACGACAGATGCGATGATGGGCGAACTCGATGACTTCTTCGCCGAGGAGAATGACCATCTGTACCAGAAGCCCGGCCGCGCCTCGACTTCCACCGCTGGCAGCTCTAAGCAGCAGGAGCCCTGGGACGATCCTTCCTACAACGAGGAGGCTCTGCAGTTTGGCTACGCCTACATGCAAAACAACCACACTCCTCTGCCCGACAACTTCGAACCCGTCCCTCTGACCCGTGAGCAGCGCCGCCAGGTTCTGGCCGCCCACAGCATCGCCGAGGCCGACTATCCCGCTCCCCCCGCCGGCTACCCTGCCCCGGCTGGCCCTGCCGACGGCGAGAACACGCCTCCCTGCCCAACCCGGCCTCCTCCTTCCGTCCCTGCTCCTGGCACCGGCACCGGCACCGTCACCGGCGGAGGTACTGGCCAAGGACGCCAGAGAGGTAGCGGCGAGCAGGTTCAGAGCCTCCGTCGCGCCCCTCGTCGCTTCCAGCGTGCCGCGACTGCCCCTACCTCCGCTCCCAAGAGCCCTGCTCCCGGCTACGACGACGATTGGTTCTAAATTACTTGACGATGTTCTGTGTCTTCTCGCTCATCTTGCTGTCTTGCAGTCTTAATAGCAGGCACCCAGGCCTGGGCCCTCAAACTTCGTTTTGGCCGATTGGAATGGCAATCTTATACGACGACAAGGATGGCGAGTCTACTTGGTATGGAAGCTCTCGAGTAACTGCACTTGGAATGGATCGGAAGGGAAAGGAAACGATAGGAAGGAAGGCCTTGGACTTTTTTTCCCCGCATTTGTTGTTGGTTTACCGAAATAATTGGTCTTTTGTGGATTGACCTTTCGTTTGGGCAGGCATTTTTTGATATGCTTGCGCTTGTGACGCGAGGACGACTATGGAAAAACAATAGGCAGTTCGGTAGCAAAGGCAACAACAGCTATTTACTCTAAAATGCGGTGTTGTGGTTTAGCGACATGGTGATGCGTCTTCGCCTCTGAGTGGTTTGTGAACCGTGAATGAGTGCGGCAAGATCGTACAGCACCCACATATTGTCGCACCCCGGGAGACAAGAAGAGGCATCAATAGGGCATATCTGTCATCCGTGAGCTGGTTTGCGGCGGAGGAGCACAGTGTACCATACACCTCGCGGGCTCAGAGTTCAGCTGTGGCTGGTCTGGCCACGAAGGTCTCCATCACCAAGCTTGCAGCGCACACACATCAATCACTTTTTCAGACAGCCAAGGCTTAGGAAATTGGTTGATTATCATCCACTATTCATGGCATGCGTACCCGCCGTCTTGGGGTATAGGAGGCTCCTTTTGCCGACTCCAGTCGTCGGCTTTCTTTTTGCCTCAGGGCACATCAAGACTCCTCTTCCAAAACTTCCAAAAGCCCCCTCCATCCCTACCTACTCCTGCGTATGTACAGCCCCATCCTGTGCTGCCACTTGAGCCCGCCACCTCTGCTGAGGTTTAAACTCAATGGCTGGAAGGCAAGGAAAAGCTAAAAACAAAGGGAATAGCCTGTGTGTGTGAAAAATTATCCGCTTGTATGTCCAGTGTCCACGGCCCTCGTTGCTGGATCTCTCTGGACTCTCTTCAAGCAGTCCCAAATACGCCGCCCCTATGCGGATTCGTGTCCCTCATACATGACAAAGGTATATATAGAAAGTTGCATGGTACAAGAAACGAAGGAAAAGGGAACCCAATTAAGCGCTGTGAACGACCTCACCACAATCAACATCCTCAAGCACTTTGTGGTGGTGCTCCAGCCACGCCGTTATTCTCCTGGTCAAAGGCCAACTTCCTTGCACTTGCCGGCTCAACCTTGAAGGTCGGCTTCTCCAGACCTGAAACTCCACTATCAGTCTCACCAAATGTGATGCCCAGGACATCTGGATTCTTCTTCGCCTCCAGTCGCTTCCTCTCCTCTTCCGCATCATTGAGATTCATCAGTGCGGGTGGACGGTGGCGCTGTTGCTGAGCCTTGGCCAAGGAAATCGTCTTTTGTTGATACGTCGTTGTTATCGCCTGGGTATCATCTCGGTCGATCGTGGCCTTCATGAGGGCCGCCATCCACAGCCTGCCTTGCTTGAGGTTGGGGACAGCAAAGTAGTGGACGGTTGGCTTAGTGAAGTTGACAGCACGGGAGAGGCCTGCGCGCGGTGGGACAAGCTTGAAGATGAACATGGCGTCGTCGCCCTTCTCCACTGAGGAATCGTTGTGTGCCGCAGCGCCAGCACCAGTGAGTGTGGCATGGAGTCCAGTCAGTCGCTCGTTGTCAGCCGGGAGTACACGGTGGAAGGAGATGTCGATGAGGCCCTTCTCCTGGTCATCGTTCTCTGAATAGTAGTAGGCCAGGCGACGTCCCTTGAGGACGAACAGTCTGGGTTTCCAGGTCGTCATGAGGTTAGAACTCTTCTTGCGCATCCAACCACTGTAATCCGCTTCTTTCACAGCCTCTGCAGGGCTGACTTTTTGCAGACCACGTTGGTAGGCACTCGTCTCCTTCTTACCCTTCTTCCTGCTGCCCTTGCTTGCGATGGTGGTCGCGGTGCTCGGGCTCTTCGCAGCATCTGGAGAATCCAGCTCGAAGCTTGGCCCAGCTGAAGGAGTACTCGATCCGGTTCTAGCGGGCGAGTGCATAGGCGAGTCCGCCTTCAAAGGAGAGTCGACAGAAGAAGTGATGACAGGGGAGGGGGAGGACATTTTGTTGCGGTCTCCAGAAACCGAATCGGAGATGGCGCGCAGGCCAGTGACCTTCACGGAAGGCTTGACGACAGCAGACAACCATTCCGCATGAATGCCTTGGCGTGCTGCTGGAGACATTGGCGCTGGCGATTCGCGGGTCTTGGAGGTGGCGCCGTCGAGCTTTGTGACGCTAGGGGCTCCTGTGTCCTTAACCGGAGGTGCAGGACGGGCTGATTGAGTGGTGCTTGTCGAGGCAGTCCTCCTGTGGCTGTTGGACTGCAAACCGTAATACTTCTGCGCGGCTGGCGAAGCGACGGAGTCACGGGTTGAGTCGATGCTGCCGAATCTAGAATGTCTCGAAATGGCAGTTGCGCTGCGAACTCGTTGCTCGTCGGCGTAGCTGTGTTTCCTGGCGTGGCTGGCCGTGCTGTCACGCTTCTTAAGTACGTTTCGGCGTCGGCCGTCAACATCAGTGCCGCTGAAGTATCCGCGATCGGTGTCGAGGTTAGAATCCGGGGCATGAAGACCAGACTGCTGCATAACGTCTTGGAAACCAGTAGAGGAAAGCGGTCTCTGGGAAGCACTGCCAAGGGTCCAATTCCTGTCGAACGAAGGCTGCTTCTTATGGGCCCCATCTGCTGCCTGAGGAAACGTCCCGCTCGTAGCCAGCTTGGGTGTTACGGCATTGCCCATTGTCGTTCCTGTCAAACGGAAGTCGGTCGATGATGAGTGTCGGCGGGAGTGATGCAAATCCCTGACGGAGGCAGCCGAAGGTCGTTTCATGTGCGAAGGCCGCGTAGGGCTATCAGCAATGGGTGATACCGGTGACACCAGAGAGGTGTCCAACTTGGGCGTTTGGGAGAAGGACAACCGTTTGCTACTCAGTGACATGGACCTGTCGTCAACCGGTGTCATCCTGGGCATGGAGTTCGTCAGGGTATCCGCCCGACTCCGCGAACGCTTGGCATCTTCCGAACCGATCTCGCTACCGTAAGTCTGCGTCGTGCGTCTAGTCGCGACCCCGATATTGTTGCACTCGTCTTGAAGACTCTTAATCTTCTGCCACGTCTTGAGTCTCCTTCCGACGGAACCCAGCTCGAAAGCCTTGATGAACAGGGAGCTCTGGTCCATGCCCAAAAGGACTTCGCCGGAGATCTCTTGGTCTCGGAACACCTCGCAATGCGACTTCTCGACGCCGACTGTGAACAGGTATTCGGCGACCTCGTCAGCCGACCAAGCCTCAACTTCCGACCGGCTGTGCATGCCCTCCTCCTCTTCGTCTGTCTCCTCGCCATGGATGTAGGATAAACGGTGGTCGATAGTGGCACTGTATTCGCTTCCGGAATCAGTGGGAGGGGCGCGCATTCCGCCGTTGCTGGGCTTGGAGCGTAGATCGGTGATGTGCTCCTCGATGACGTTGAGCGTCTCGTTCAAAACATGGTCTTGGTTCGTATTCAAACGGCCGAGGGAGGCTGACGGCGGATGGGCCACAGGTGGCGCACTCTCACTCGGAGGGACATCCTGCTTGATGCTGTTCAAGGGAAGGGTGACTGGAGCGATCGATTCGGCAGGGGACACGGGAGCCGGCGGAGGGGTGGGCGTGTCAGCCTGGTTATCAATCGGGGATGCAACGGATGGGTGCTTGGGTTCGTTTGCTCCTTCAGGGAGCGTAGCCAGCGGCTTCGAGAAATTATTCGTAGGAGACGTCTTCGGGGCTGGTCTGGTGTAGACTAGAAAGGGCAAATCAGTTGCGCGTCGTTTGCGGCGGGGGCCGGTCGAGCCTACCTTCGGGAAACAGGCCGCTGTTGCCGTTCACCAAATGCTTGCCAAGAAACCATCCATCGCCAAATTCATCGTCTCTTTCGATGAGCTCGACTCGGTCGCCCTTGGCCAAGCTCAATTCGTCGGAGCTACGAGCAATGAAGTCGTCTGCGACAAGAACACATCAGCTCAGAGAACGCGGGTCAGGGGGGTGAGTTGTGCTGAAGGCGGGGAGACGATGAAGCTGCATGACGCGAATGCAGCGGCGGGCGGGACGAGGGCGGCAGGTGGGCTCACGAGGAGCAGGTCAGTATGGGCAGATAGGGAGGATGGACGTACGTATGACGAGAAGGATATCGCCAACTTCAGGCCTTGGAGCAGCCATGTTGCCGACGATGCCAGGCGCCGCGACAGATGCGGGTGGCGTTTGCTGAAGAGAATGGTTTGTGACGGGATCAATACATAGGAGACGAAGTGCTGGCTGGGCAGCCTGGCCTGGGCTCGAGATGACTTGGGTGCGACGACCGGGGGGCGGAGAACTGCTGGCGAAGCGAAAAAAAGCGGCAGAAGCCAGGGATTGTCAGTTGTTCGGCAGCTGGGACCAGGTATGGTAAGTGTGCGCAGTAGTGACCGCGCAAGAGCGGATAAGGTGAGGAGTCGATGAGGGTCTGGTGAGATTGATGGCGACCGGGGTGGTAGGGAGGAAAGGGAAGGAGGGAGACAGAGAGGTGTGTGTAAGGAGAGGAATTCGATGCCGCGACAATGGGCCCCCAAAAGGTGTGCGTGTGTGTGTTGTTGTTGTTATTTTACTGGGATGCTGATGAGGGGGGATAATTTCACTGTCTTCACTTTTTTCCCCCTTCCTTCAGTCGCTGGTGCCCTTGTGTTTTTTTCTTCGTTCCCTTCCTTCCTTGGCCCGGTGCTCTTTCCCTTTCTCTCGTGTGAGCGAGGTTGAAGAAGCCGAAAGGTGGGCTGACAGATTGGACACGCAGCCGGCAAGAAAGTGGCGACGAATGCAAATAGAAATGTGAAGGTTCGTCGGTCGGCAAGGCACGCTGTAAGATCAAGTCCCGGTCTTGACGGCAGACCAGACCAGACCAGACCAGACG